GGGCACGTGCGCTCACCAGACAGAGAGAGACAGAGAGACAGAAAGCGAGAAATCACCACACGGGGAGATGGCCATGTCGCAACCCTTTCTCCTCCATTCTCCTCTCGGGATCTTGGGCACGCATGCACATGCGCCCAGCGTGAGTTTTAAGCCACTATGTCCAGGACGTGAACCGTGGTCGACTACATAGGAGTCCAGCGACATAGCCATTACGCTAACTGCTGGTCCCTCAAAAAATTGGATTTTGATTCTTAAGTTAATTCCCTTAATATAATTTATATGCCTATTGACAAATACCTGTTCATAACATTTTCATAAAGAGTAGTATAAAGTAGATAATTTGATTTATATTTATATTAACTGCAGGTCTATCTACGTACTTTATGAGAACAAACAACAAATCCTAGCCCTTCTTTACTATCTCATGATACCTGACATTAATAAATAATAAATTAGATCTTCTAGAGAAAATCTACTCCAGACTTCCTAATTGTCAATTTAATAGAATATTAATCAGTACACAGGGTTATTTCTCAAAAAGTTGTTTCTCTGTATAAAATTTGAAAATGATTATGTTTCCAATGTGCTTCTTTGGGCAATATAAATAGCTGTGTTATTTTCTGGACAATATTTTGAGAAGCCATGTATGCCAGAGCAAATGCTCCAAGGTCAGGGGCTCCCAGGACTTCTCCCCTGGTACTGACCTGAGGCAGTCATTTGTGCTAAGAAGAGCAGGTACACAGAAGTAGCATCCAACTGCAGGTGTCCCCACTGGTCATCACCCACTACAGTGGCACAGGTTTTAGTGTTGTACTTGGCATGGAGGCTATCCTTAGTACTCTGACTATACTTGAAGGATTCTGCTTTCTCCACCTAAAAGAAAAGAAAAAAAAAGAAAAGAACAAAAACAGTAAATGAAAGAAATACAGAAAACCAACCCATATCCTGCACTTCTGCAGTATTTTCTAACATACACTGTTGTGTTCTGTCTTCAGACAATTGTGAGTATTTAAAATGAATTGTTACTTCTCTTTTTCCCTAATACAACCTGGAATATAAGCAATTTAATTAAAAAAAAAACAAATAATCAAAATCAGCTATTTCTTTTTTTTAAAAGAATTATTTATTTAATTTTTAAATTTATTCATCCATTTACTATTTTAATTCAACCAAAGAGAGACAGAGAGAGAGAGACACAGAGAGAGAGGAAGTGAGAAAGCAAGCCACCAGGTCCAGGACTTGAACCGTGGTTGGCCATGTGGGAATGTCCAGTGCCTTAACCACCACGCCACCTGCTGGTCTCCAAATCAGCTATTTCTTATTCATTGCTTCTCTTTCACTCTTCAGATGGCTGCTTTGCCTCACGGTAGATATAAACTGAGATTCAGAGTACATAAATGAGAACAGCTTAGTGAGAGACAACAAAGTGTGAAAAGATACATTTGTTCCTGAAATTAAAATAGGAATTTTGAGGGAAATTAGAACAAGAAAACATATTCTGAAGTCGTGACAAAATGAGCTGGTGAAAGACACATGGACAGAGAAAAAGTATGACAAGACAGAAAGTTGAAACCAGAGGTCAGAGGGAATGCTGTAAAGGGACAACTGAAAAACTTACCTCCTGAAACTTAAATTTGAATATGTATGATATATGATGGTAACTATTACACTTTAAATATGAAATAGGTGACTTTAAACTTATTTGGAAAGGTATAAAGTGCAAATATCTGAAATACAAAAAAGAAGTAGTAAAACCAGGGAAAAGAGGGAAAGGATAGATTGCTAAAAAAATATGCAATGTCTGTGACAAAGGCATTAAATATACGTAATGTACAAAAACTCCTAAATGGGTGGTTAAAAAAAAATAGACAAAGGACCTCGCAGGCAATTCACCAATGAAAAAAATGTGAATTTTCAATGTGTACATCAAAGGATTCTCAAATTCACTCAGGCCAGGAAACTGCAAGTTATTGGAAGGAGATACAAGTCCAAGGTTCCTTATCACCAATCTTAAAATCTCAAACATTTTGACAATTTTTTTAATCTGCAATAACGCATGTGTACTCACTACTGGAAAGAGATGGGGGGGGGGGGAAAAAGACTCTCCCCAGAAGGCGTGGCCATGCCACAATTCTCTCTTCCATTCTCCTCTTGGGATTTTGGGCATGTGCACACATGTGCTCAGCATGTTTTTCAAGCTGCTCAGTCCAGGAGTTGAACCATGTGCATGGCCATGTGGGATTCAGTTGTCTTAACCATGCCCCATGCCACTTACTGGCCTGAAAAGGATTTTCCCCCTATGTTTTACAGCAAAATTCATTTGGTGGCAACCTTATATCTAAAGTGACATAGGGCTACTTGTCTTTATTACATAGTGTAAAAATGCTTATTTCCCATTAATAGATATTAGTATTTTTGATTATTGAGTGCTGTCCTAGACCCACTAGGTAAGATAATATATGGACTATACTACCTTTTAAAAATCTTTTTTTTTTTTTGAGAGGTTTTTGCTACAGGGCATGTGCGCTCACCAGAAAGACAGAGAGATAGAAAGCGAGAAATCACCCCCCGGGGAGATGGCCATGCTGCAATCCCTTCTCCTCCATTCTCCTCTCAGGATCTTGGGCACACACGCACACGTGCCTGGCGTGAGTTTAAGCCATGGGGTCTGGGACTCAAACTGCAGTCGGCTAAATGGGAGTTCAGCAACATAGCCATTACACTAACTGCTGGTCCTCTTTTTAAAGATCTTTAAGATCTTAATTATCTTAATTCTAAAATTAATTTGGCCCCAAGGGTTTCAGATGAAGGTTTCTGAACCTATACCATCTTTTACCTAATATACACAACTGTGTATACAGTAATGATGAAACACATTTTGAAAATCATTTGTGGGGGGGGGGAAGGGACTGTACATTCTGGTGGCAACTAGATGGTGAGATTATAGGTGACAATTTTTCTGTTGATTTCCCAAATTTTCTAAAAATTAATGGGTACTATTTGTGAAACTGAAAAATAAAAAATGCTATAAAAATCCCCCGAGGGGTTGAGATACTATTACAATATGCTTCTATTAGAGAGAGCTGTTAAAAATGACATACCTGTCTGATCATGCAGTGCAGCAGTCCCCTCATCAGTTTCACTACACTCTGCAGAAATAAATGGAAACAAGACTGTTATAAACATCCTTAGATCCAGGAACACTTACTCAGCAACTGCAGTTGGTACATGACCTTTTGAGAACAAGTAACCCTATCCTGGGTTCCTATTTACATGGCATTTACTTTATAGGTACACAGAAGAGCAGATTACAGCTAAAAGTGGAATCAAAAGCTACAATTTGTGATTACTTCATGGTTAAAAGAAATTGATATGACAAGTTTAGGTAAAAATAAGCCAGCCATCCTATTAGAGGCCATTCCACCTGAAGAGAAGGGGCAAATCAGCTAAAAAAATCATAAGGGTCTGATGATATTCTTTTTATTAAGAGGGATTTTTGCTATAGAGTGTGTGTGCTCACTTACCAGAGAGACAGAAAGTGAAAAATAACCCCCTGGGGGGATGGTCATGCCATAATCCCTTCTCCTCCAGTCTCCTCTCAGGATTTTGGGCATGCACACACACACACACGACTGGCATGAGTTTTAAATCACTGGGTCTGGGACTTGAATCAGGGTCGACTATGTGGGAATCCAGTGATGTAACCATAACATCATCTGCTGGTTCCTGGTCTTGATGATATTCTAATATATATAATCTAGAAAGATACATTACATCACTTATTCTTTTTTTCTCAACTAGCCAAGACTTATCTTCAAGAGTCCATTGGAATATTTATCTGGGTATTTTTTTTAAACAATAAAGTGAATTTCAATTCAGAATACATAAAAAGGGGGAACGGTTAGTATGACTCAATCCCTTCTCATGAAAAAAAAAAAAGTCACAACTTTCTTGAGTCATCATTATTTCTCTTATTAGGAATTGACAATTCTGGGACCAGCAATGGGCGTAATGGCTATGTCGCTGGACTCCATGTAGCCAACCACGGTTTGAGCCCCAGACCCAGTGGCTTAAACTCATGCCAGGCACATGCACGTGCTTACCCAATATCCTGAAAGGAAAATGGAGGAGAAGGGATTGTGGCATGGCCATTCCCCCCGGGGGAGTGATTTCTCACTTTCTGTCTCTCTGTCTCTGTCTTTCTGGTAACTGCACGTGCCCTATAGCAAAAAAAGAACTCTCAAAAAAAAAAAAAAAAAAATTAAAAAAAAAGGAATTGACAATTTCTAAAAAAAAAATTAAAAAAAAAATTCCAATTATAAGCCCCAAATTCTGATCACCAACTATGGACATTGGTATGCAAAATATTTTGGAAAAACACAGCACTGAACAGATTCTCCAAGAAGCTTTCTTTTTCACGATCCAGAAGAAATTAAACCAGGTTACTCCAGGGAATGCTGGCTCGGAGGTAGCTTCAGGGCATCTCTGAAAACCAATCTACTTGGGAGCCACATAATTCTGTTATTCCTTCAAAACTTACTCAAGTAGGATTATAAGCAATAGGCACAATAAGGGTAAATACCTATGAAAGCATGTTCCAATCTTCACAAAGTCCTTTATTGAGGGAAAAATAAAAACTGTTTCCTTTGGGGAATTATCTTTCTTAAGTAACTTCTCTCTGTAGATGGTCATATCTCTTTACAAGTCAAAGAAATAAATAAGGAGAGATGGGGGGAGGAGAGCAAGCAGGCAATGCATGATTTTGTCACATTTTAAAGCCTGAAGCATTTCTTAAGTAATGAAACTTACTGTAATCTCTACAAGAAAATTTTTATCATTACTTTGACCCTAATGAAAGACTTTTTTTTTCAGAGAGATTTTTGTTACAGAGCCCATGAGCTCACTGAAGAGACAGGCAGACAGGAAGAAAGTCCCCTCAGGGGGGATGGCCATGCCACAGTCCCTTCTCCATTCTCCTCTCAGGATTCTGAGCATGCATGCGCACGTGCCCAGTGTGAGTTTCAAGCCGCTGCATCTGGGACTCAAACAGCAGTCAGCCGTGTGGGAGTCCACTACACCATTTGCTGGTCCCAAGATCACTCCTTTAAAATAACCTTTTATGGAAAGTATTTAACATAGCATCCTCTGTGGGGAGACTTTATTCAATTCTTACATACATCACCATATACTCAAAGATTTCTATCACATTTTAAAATAATTATTTATTTAATATAATTTATTATTATTATTATTACTATTATTTTAAAATCTGCACTCACCAGAAAGAGACAGACAAAGAACAAGCTACCAGGTTTGGGACTTGAACCATGGTTGGCCATGTGGGAGTCCAGTGCCTTAACCACCATGCCATCTGCTGGCCCCTATCTAACACATTCTTTCTTTTCCAATATTCAGTGAATTAGATCAGAAAAGCAGAACAGGAGTTTGTACAGCTATTTTTATATTTTTCCCTATAAATTAATGGCCTGCAAGGACTCATTTTAAAAAACATATTGAGGGGCCTCTAATCAACCAGTTTGAGATTCAACTTTTATGCCATTCCATAAGAAGCTAGCATCCTGAACTTGTTTCACTGGTTACATCACTATTTTTCAACCAACCCACTTTCCCTCTTGCCTATCTATCAACTCTCTGCCACTGAGTCCCACTATTCCCATCTAAATTTTCTTTAACTTAAATAGCAAACCTGGAGAATCATGGACCTGGTGGAGGATTCTTGATTACCATTTACTTTTGTCTTCCCGGAATGGCCATTATCAGTCACTTCTACCCTCATGTTCCAACCTCTATGTCAGGATAAAGTTAACAGAGAGCATGAGGCAGCAAGAATAATAGGAGGTATCTGTATTTTCTGTTGCTCCAAACTGGCTGTTTTGTGATTCAGGTGCACCACATGGCATTATGCATTCAAACACCAGTGTTTCTCCTCACACCAAGTGTGTGAGGATATGAATCTGTGTATCTATAAACTGATAATATAAGAACATAGAATTAACTATAAGGCCAGCTCAGTGGCTCATTAGTAATGTACTACTCAAGTGAAGCTTGATTTATATGGAAGACTGCAGGTTTGGTTCTACAAGCTGGGAATTTGTGCCCATAATCCTGATTGGCTGAGAAGGCTGGAAAGGGAGAAGAGATCACGGCATGTGACCCTGTCAAGGGTGCTTATATTTCTCTCTCTTTCTCTGTATGTCTTTCATTCTCATGAATTAAAGAAAAAAAACGATGTTAAAGAAAAAACTGTATATATCCATATCTGTGTATTAACCCTCCATACTCCATATATGTATAATCAGATATTTATTGAACCTCTATCAGCTTTTATAGAACATAAAGGTAGGGAGACAGGAGAGATATGTTAAAAAATGAACTAAACTACAACATTGTCTACCCAGTAATTCCTAATTATTCTTTAAAATTAAATTCCTCTGTGCCTTCCTTGCCTTGTTCAAGGAAAGTTTATACATTCCCACTCTGTGTGTTCCCACAGAACAACTTATCTCTGATGTATATAGTACGTACAATACATGTCTTAATGCATTATATCTACTTGCTTATATATCTGTATCCTCTATCAGCCTATGAACTTTTTGAGAAAAGGGGGCAGAACCAGATTCAGAAAAAGACCTTTAGATCAACAGACTAAACAGGCTGTATTAAAAACAAACAAACAGGGACGAGTGGATAGCATAATAGTTATGTCACTGGACTCTCATGTAGTTGACCATAGTCCTGGACCTGGTGGCTTAAAACTCACAATGGGCAGATGTGTATACATGCCCAAAATTCCAAGAGGAAACCAGAGGAGAAGGGATTGCAACATCCTCCCGGGGGGTGATTTCTCACTTTGTATGTCTCTGGCAAGCACATGTGCCCCATTGCAAAAATTTCTCTAAAAAACAAAACAAAACAAAACAAACTCATGTCTGCAAATAATGCTCAAGTGGCTTATCAACAAAACCACATATGTATGGGAGGGTATAAAAATATGACAAAATATTAACAACTAGTGAATTTAGATAAGAAGTATATGCAAATATTTTCATTTTACTATTCTTACAACTTTTCTATAAGTTTAAAATTTTCCCCAAAAATAGGTGGGGGGAGGTATATATAAACATTTTGTATCATTCCCTTTTTTTTATATCCATCAATATAATAGGGCCTAGCACATGACAATTACTAAAGTTTGTTAAAATTAGTATGTTGAGGGACCAGCAGTTAGTGTAATAGCTATGTTGCTGGACTCTCATGTAGTCGACTGCGGTTTGAGTCCCGGACCCGGTGGCTTAAACTCACACCGGGCGTGTGTGCATGCATGCCCAAGATCTGGAGAGGAGAATGGAAGAGAACAGATTGTGGCGTGGCCATCCCCCCGGGGATGTCTCTCTTTCTTGCTTCCTGTCTCTCTGTCTCTCTCTGTTTTTCTGGCAAGTGCACACGACTTATAGCAAAAAAACTCTCAAAAAAATGAATATGTTGAATGATACAGATCATAAGTGATCCGGAAGTTCCAGGAAAGGAGACTTGACAAAGAAGTGATCACAGTATCATTGAGTTGTCTTTGAGGACAGGGACCACAGAAAAAGTGGGATTGGTGCTGGGCTTTCAAAGGAGGGTGTTAGTTTAAACTGGAAGGAAACAGACATGTGAAAGAAATAGACTGTAAAGATATTTGAAGATGGCAATATCCACAGCTTCCATAGATCAGAAATCTAAACAACACTGATCAGCAGTCCTAAAACCCAGGTTATATTTACGGTACCACAAAATTCCATCTTCAAAATTTCAGCTTTATCTCTGCACTTTAGTCCCTTCACTTGTAAATTAAAGAGAATAATGTCTATTTCACAGTTTATTTTTATATAACTGGTAGTTATGGGAAAGCATGTTGTACAATAAAAAGTAATTATACAAATGTTAGACATTTTTATCATGAGACTTTTTTTTTAGAGGTTTTTGCCATAGGGTGCGTGTGCTTGCCAGACAGACAGAGAGAGACAGAAAGACAGAAAGCGAGAAATCACCCCCCCCCGGGGGGGGGATGGCCATGCGGCAATCCCTTCTCCTCCATTCTCCTCCCGGGATCTTGAGCACGTACGCACATGTGCCCGGCGTGAGATTTAAGCCACCGGTTCCGGGACACGAACCACGGTCGACTATGTGGGAGTCCAGCGACATAGCCATTACGCTAACTGCTGGTCCCTTTATTAAGAGACTTTTAAGGAATAATGGAGACATCAACCTGGCTGGAGCTAGGAGTATAATGGATGGCACCAATGAGCTATATTACTGAAAAGGTAGGCCAGGACCAAACCCTAGAAAGTCATGCCTAATAATCCAATAGGTTTGGCCTTTACCTGTAGGAAAATGAGGGCCACAGAAAGACTGTGGAGGATGAGGGGTCAGGTGGTGGTGCAGCAGTAATACAACTAGGCCCACACGAGAAAGGTCCTGGGACCTCCTTAGGCATGCCCATGATCTGGGCCAACTGAGACTGGGTATGGATTGCAACCTGAAGGCCCTGTTACAAGTGTCCCCCTTTCTCTCTCTCTCATGGAAAAAGGAAATAAACTTAAAATAACTAAGATTGTAGGAGATGGAAATAACATAATTTAACTTTGGTTTTCTTAATAGCACCAGGTTGTAAGGGTTTCAACAAGGGTTGAGATAGAAGGAAATAGGAAGGGATAGATTCAAGAGAAATTATAAGAATCAAAAGACTTTGGTCTGCATCTATAGAAAGACAAGAGGGGCAAGTCAAAAATCAGCCTAAGAACAATACTCTTCAAGCACTGTTTTATAGAATAGTAGACCAAGAAATTCTGGAAAGCTTCTTTTTTTAGATTTAAAATGCACATTAGTACATCAAACACTCTAAGAAATTATGGAATAAAGACTTGCTGTTTAACAGAGCCCTAAACTTAGTCGGCTTAGTTTCCCACAGAAGACATTGTTCACAACACTCCAAGTAATGTTGCCTGGGTGATCGGTAGAATGAGGACACCAATAAGAAAAAAAAAGAGATGTTTTGTGAGTTACAATCATTTGGTTGGTTGTTTTTAGTTGAGAAGGTGGGGTTTCAGACACATTGAGTTAAAGGAGTCACAGAATATGCAGGCAAAACTGACGACCAGATAGACGCACCCCTCAAAAAAAAAAAAAATACACAGAAAACAAAAAACCTGGGGTTTGAAATTAAAATTAAGGTTAAAGATGAAGATCTGGAAGTCATTCTCATAAAAATAATAAAGTCAAAAGAAAAGATGAGTGACTACACAAAGAACAAAACTGAGGAAGAAGTAGAACTGGAGACAGCCAAAGAGATATCTCCATTTGAGTACCTATTTTTTAATGGTTATGAGACTGTATCTATACCTAAGAGAATGGATGCCTATAAAAATATAGATGTGCATAGTCCTATTCTCAGTCTAGGATATGGTAGTTGCCTAAACCCTTGTCCCCTTTTCACCCAGAATTCTTGAGTTCTCTGACATTATTTCTTGGACAGAAACCAAGGCCAGAGTTAGAAGAGTAGAAATTATTAACAATCAATGTTTTGGGAAAAGCCGCAGAGTAAAGGAAAGTTGACAGAGCATGGAAATTTAATCAATAGATTTATTGGATTTAATTTATGTTCATTTACTGGCTATAGATCAGTCCTTATTAACCTCTGCTATACTCTTATAGAAACACCTGTTTTTTTGTTTTGTTTTGTTTTTTTAATATTGATGCTCCTGGGATCCACTTTCAGAGCATTTTATTTAAATTGTTCTAACGTGGGGTCCAGTAAGGGTAGGTCTTAAAAGTTTTCCAAGTGATTTCAATGTACATCTTCAATTTAGAACCACTCATCTAAATCAAGGATAAATCCAGCTCACTGCTGTTTTTGTAAATGAAATTTTATTGGAACATACTCACACTCTATGTATTGTCTCTGGCTGCTTTTGCACAACACAGAGCTGAACAGCTGGGCAGAGACCTACAATGCTGGAAATACTAATTCTCTCTATTTATAGAGCTGGTTTTCTTCTCCCTGATTTAGAATAATGTTGAATCAGAAACAGGTTTGAAAAATAAAATTAATAAGACCTAATAATGAAATATGTTTTAATCCATAACAAAAGTTCATAAAAAACTTAAGAATTCTCATAGAAACTTGTTTTTTGAAGATGTTTCCTATTGCCACACTGTTTTGAATAATTCTAAAGTTATTACTGAGGTGTTATGAAAAATATATTTGGGCTATATGAAAAATTATTTAATGAAACACTAAGATTTTAGAATAGGAATTCAATGTTCCCCTATTTTTTTCTCCTTCATCTGTTTAATTTTTTCCACCTGGGCCAAATAAGGAACAAAGTCAACTTTGCAGAATGATTGGTCAACATGTAAACAACAGATTTCTTCTAACAGTATTGAAGAAAGCTGGTCAAACTATACCAGATCTGGAATTCCAGTTATACTGATATTAATTTGTAGTAAAACAAAACAACAAACAAATAAACACTAAGATCAAAACAGCAAAACATTAAGAGTAGAATGTAGGTTCTGGAGAGACAGGATTACAGGTAATTTTCAAACAGTCTACAGTTTCTGAATTTCTACAGGGATATGTATTATTTCTATAAAAGTCATAAAAACACTCTACTTCCTGGCTACAGCAAAGTTCCAATAATTTTATTTTTTGGTGGACTTACTGTATCTCTCAATAATAGCTTACAGGAATATTAAATGCCTGTTGTTGCTGAAGACAACACAGTGAAACTTTCCCATTGCCAAGAACTGCAACACAGCAACATGCTAGTACTCTTAAAAAACAATCAATTCTTAATATTCTGATTTTTAGATGAAAACTGGAGGCAACATGCTAGTACTCTTAAAAAACAATCAAATCTTAATATTCTGATATATAGATGAAAACTGGAACTCAGTTTGCTGAAGTCTGACAGAAACTACTGGAAAAAATGGCTGGTGCAGAATTTTTCCACTTGTGGAAAAGAATTAGCACACATTTTACAACTGACAGCAGATCACCTCAAAGTCAAAAATCCCATGTAGCCCAGAATATTGTTTTGTTGTTGTTGTTATTCAAAAGGTTGTAACTTCCTGCGTGTCTAAACAGTTCTCTAAAGGATGCTTGTTTACTGAGGGGAAATGTCTTAAAAGTTGGCTTAAAGGTATCTGCTTACTCTGACCTCATTTTACCCTGGGTGTGTGTGTGGGGGGGGGGGGGGGGGGGGGGAGCAAGCAACAGGTTCTGAAATAGTGTTAACAGCTAAAAAATGAACAAATAGTCTTTACTATTTTATCTAATTCTGAAGGTGTGCTGATTTACATCAGTTACTCTCATTAATATACCATCAGTTATTTTTTTAAATTAAGTAAAATAGTAGATATTTGACCTCAAACATTTTTCTCTGTGAGAATAAATACAGTGGAGACTGAAAAAATACATTTATTTAGAAAGGGATTATCAATTTTAGGAAATATCCCAGGATAGGATTTTCCACTATAACAGAACAGACTGTGCTTTCTTCCCCTGAATCAGCATTTCAAGTTTCCAATGCAAAAACAAAGACACTTTCCAGTACAATGTAGGAAAACTTTATGGAATGTAATTTCAGAAAAGGGAAAGAAAGAGGGTGTGAAAGGCATAATACAGTTCTCTTAGTTTCTGTGTATTATATAACTTTATTAATTATTATTTTTTAGAGAGAGATTTTTGCTATAGAGCGTGTGTGCTTGCCAAAGAGACAGAAAGTGAGAAGTCACCCCTCCCAGGGAGGATGGCCATGCCATAATCCCTTCTCCTCTATTCTCCTCTTGGGATTTTGGGCAAGGGGGCACATGTGCCCAGTGTGAGTTTCAAGCCATTGGGTCTGGGACTCAAACCATGGCCAACCATATGGGAGTCCAGCAAACGTAATAATTTTGCCATCTGCTGGTCCCTATTACACAATTTTCATCCCTCACCCCACCCCGAACCACACACAGATCCAGATCTGTTTGTATTTTTGTTCTGCATACCTGCTCCAGCTCATAGGCCTTTGCCTTATCTTCATCCCGATCTGCATTCTTCCGATAGGCCAGGCCCAAACCCCACACAGCCAAGATGCTGTACACATTATCTCGGACCCAGGCATCTTTCTGATCATAGCTGGCTGGAAGCAAGCCAGTCACTGGATTCTGCAAGGCCAATAAAAAGAGGACAGGTAGGTAACCATACAGTGATAATATCAGAAAACATAATCTATGGAATAGGTTTTCTTTTTTTTAAGGGGCTTTGTATTTCTCTTCTGTACTCTTGAGTCTTATAGCCTTTTCTTGGGACCAATTGCAGTCAAAAGCTACCTTTACCCTCTCCTTCACCTTTATTAAGGTGTAATTGACAAATAAAAGTCATGTATATTTAAAGTGTACAATGTGATGATTTGATATTGTGTATTGGGAAATGATGACCACAGTCAAGTTAATTAACATATCACCTCACATAATTAGCTCTTTTTTTGTGTGTGGTGAAAATACTTAAGATCAACTCTCTTAGCATATGTCAAGTACACAATACAGTATTACTAACTACAGTCACCATACTGCTGGATTCCCTGAACTTATTCACCTTATAATGGAAAAGTTTGTACCATTTGCAAATGCTATCTTGAATAGGGGAAAGAGATAGCTGAAGCCTGACAAATCTGAAATGTGGGTGTTATTAAAAACAAGGCATTATTAAAGCTATTACTAAAAGAAAGTTTTAACTTTCCAGTTACTAAGAATGAACCACCATGAAAAACCAGCAGTAAAGGAGTAAAACAATTATTATATAATTAACAATATGTACACAGTTTTCACAACACCCTCTTTTCTTTAAAAATAATTCATTTTACTTATTATTATTTTTAATTTGACCAGAGAGAGAGAGAGAAAGTGAGAAAGCCAGCCACCAGGTCTGGGACTTAAACCTTGGTCTCCCATGTGGGTGTCCAGCACCCTAACCACAACGCCACCTGCCGGTCCCCAGCTTAGTCTTAAGATGGCTTGAGTTCCCCTACCTCTTTGCTTGATGGGGGTGGGGGAGGTAGGGGGTGG